ACCATACAGGAATGCCAAGCTGAGCTTTCCTACTTCTCTTGCTGGGTTTGGAGGATGCCAGGCTGAGAGATCTGTGAGGCATCAATTATAATCCAGAATGCATCTCTCAAAATAAATGTTTTGTGCGTTTCCGTAGCAGATCATCCAATAATAGCACACAGCTCAAGCAGCTAATGGAGCACAAGTCTGCCTCCAATGTGTCAGATAATAATTGTGCTGTAACACCACAGTGCATACATGAATAAATACAATCCCGAATTCAACGAGATATTTTCCTTCTGCTGCTCCTCCTGCTGCAAATGAATACACCAGCAATTAATTACTGTGCTCAGCAACTCCCTGCAGCAATTGTGTAATAGATTCGTTTTCAGTCCCTTGTCTCGTAACCTTTGGGATAAGAGTTTCATGGGTCTGGAATGGCAAACATAAAAATATATGGCTTTGTGCATTTAGTGTTTGTAAATGTTACAGCTCTCAGACACCAGCCATAACTTTCTCAAAGTTCTGTTCCACTGCTTATAAATCCTGCAGTTTATTTGAATATCAGGAGCATTTGAGACGGCAACCAAGAGTAAAGGGTATTTCTCAATCAGAGATATTTGCACGTTACTTTTCATGGTAAAACTTATTTATATTTATATTACTAACATTTGAGAAATAGTGTGATATCTGTTCTTACTAGGTGTCAACCTTTTAGGTGGTTAGGACTACACCAGGATACCCTGGCCTCAACAAAGTCACTGCAGGTTCTGTCGCTGACTTCAGAGAAGCCAAAATTCCACCTAAGACTGTAGCACTAAAAAAAAAAAATTAACAATTTAAACCAATATCCTGCCATCTCACCTCTGCCTTGTTAAACAATTATTTTTTAGGATGCACAACTAAAAGTTGCTGAGCCCTTCAGACAACTGTCCAAGGGAGTCCTGTACGGAGCAAACCATTTCCTGATCTTATTTTGCAAGTGTTTGAAGCCCAGAGAGGTCACGTGCCCGGAGCTGACAAACAGCAGGGGATGAACACAGCGCAGACACCGCCTGGGTGATGAAATGCAGGGCAGTACTACGAGTGTCTCGATGACAATATTATCTACTCTCGCACAGATGGCTCGGGAAAAGCCAACGTTTCTACGGTTCTCCTGGGCAAAGGAGAGTCCAAGAGGGGAAAGCAGAGGAAGTGGAAGAAGTAGGTAGGGGGAGCAATCTGAAAGCCAAGCTTTCCAAATCTGAATGATCCCCAGATCCCAGAGGGAATGACTTTCCAGGCTGAAGGAGCAAGGAAGAGTGGGCTGCCAAAGCTGGAAAATGAGCCTCCTGAATCTTTCAACCCAGAATAATACCACATTTGCTATAAACCAAGAATAATTAATTTTAAAAAAATAAGTCTGAGCTGTTCTGACTGGAAGCACATCACTTCCCTGTGCTTAGAGCAATGGATTGGGACTCAATTCTGGTTTTGCTGCTACTGAACTGCCCAACCAGTGCTGTCTTCAATGCCATCCATGAAGACAGAGACTCTCTCCTATGGCCAGATGTGCCCAGAAAATAAAGGCTTTGCAAACAAATTATTAAAAAATAATTCATATCAGAAGTTCTAAGGTGTCCCTTAAGTCCAGACAACAACAGTATAATGACAAGTTAGTGATTATCATAAAGTATTTTCAAGACTCAAATGCTAATGAAAAAGAGTAAAACTATTAAATTATAATAATTTATAAATATAAAAGCATTAAATGCGTTTCCCAAGTTCTGTCTAGCTTTGTTCCTCTCACCTCTGCTCAGTGAATACTCATGCAGCTCTAACTAATTTATTTAAGCTGAGTTCAAGACTACACAGGACACACATTAAACTTTAGTGTCCCTTCTCCAAGGAGAAGTCTTTTATTTGGTTATTTCCATCTGTTAGGTATCCCAAAAATGGAAGAAAAACCTTTCCCAGGGGCCAGTACAGCCACTCCCCAGAGAACTCAGATAAAGTAACTCAGGTTATTGTTTATCTCCAGGCTTTCTCCAAACCCAGCAGACCAGGGCTGTGCTGCCCATCTGATACACAGAGCTTCAAAACTTGTTTCCAGCTGGCATCTGCCTAATCTCCTCTCCACTTGAAAAAAACCTGGCATGTAACTGCTGCTTTCCTTTTTGTACCCAAATCCTCAAACTTACATTCTTACTGTAGAGATTTAGTCAATGGAATCAGGCAGATAAAATAAAATTTAAAAAAAAAAAAAAAAGGAAGTTTTTTGCACATCACATCAAACAGCAATTGTTCAAAGACACATGGTTTGTGAAAGATTTTGTCCAATATTAGTGCATTACTAACCACTTTTCCATGCTGCCTGGGCCCCTGGAAACAATTGAAACCTAAGAAAACACAAGGGATATGTCCTCATTTTCTATTATATTTTCTTAATAGGATGGCAGGTGAGTCAGAGTTGAGACTTCATTTGTGCAGGAAGTCTATGGATCTGATTTTAATCATCTGCAAATAACAGTAAGGTAGAATAGCAGGAAGGAAGGAACTGTAGGGTTGATTATCAAGAGATCCCATATTTCTGTACATCTCCATGCAACCTCAATTCCTTCATATCAGTCCCCTCATCCATATAGATGGTAACAGATCACAGAAACATTGTGGGGATTAATTACTTAATGTCCTTACTTTGCCTTTGAAAATGCAAAGCTCTCTGTGCCTAACAGTTTAGGTGGATGTCCAAAGGGATTTACAAAAGTACTTAAGCAGGTTAAATGCCTACATCCCACTGACTCCCAAAGACTTTCCATAAACCTGACACTATAAATGGAGTGGCAAGAAGGGAGAACGCTGTCACCTCATCTTTATGGGGGTCAGGACACTGGAAGAGTTTATGTTCCTGTGACTCCAGCTTAGTCACAGGCAGCCTCTTTGCTCCTGGCTGGCACACTCCTCTGAAGGAGGTACCTGTCTGGCTCAATGTCTTCCATGTCTCAAACCAATCCCTAAAATCAACAGGAAGCTTAAATCCCTAAGGCCCTACTGTGCAGGCAGGGTTTGTTACCTGAGTGAGAACAGATGCTGATCCCAGTGCTGGACAGCCACACAATGGACACACAAAGTGACATTAAGGTGGTGCAGGGGAACAGTGTGCCAGGTGCTCCTCTGTGGATACCAACCCTCTGAATCCTCTGGGATTTCCTGTGTTACTCTGACACAGCTGGCACCTACAGACTCCAAAAAGCAGGACTCCTCCCAAACCAGAGGCAGCAACAAACTGACCAACGAGGTTTCCTAATTGCACAAAGCTGCTGTTGCAACTGCTCGTGTTTCTCCTGCCTATTAAATGCCAGTTAAGCCACTGCCTCTGAGCTGCTTCCCCCATCAGCTCAGAGATCCTGTAAGGAGGGTTCAGAGATAACAAAACCAGCCAGGTTTTCTTGGTCAGTACAGCTGATCAGCCCAGTGATCCAGTTCAAAATGACCATCAGGGGTGTGTGGGACAACGGAACAGACCCAGCTATAACCAAACTCCCTGAGTGCAGACACAGAGGAAGATCAGCTGCCCACAGGAATCTCTGTTTCTTGGGTAGGTTTTGCAGCCTGCAATGAGCTGCCCACAGTGTGGCAATTTTGGGCTACCTGCACCCAAGTGAAGTGGGTTCACCTGTCTAACATAAACCTTGCCCCTGGACCGAACAGGGGATGTACCCTACCAGCAGCTGGGAGCTGGGAAACTGCTTTTGTCATCAGAGAGGCATAGTGAAGAATTAAAAAAAAAAAAAAAACAAAACCAAAAACCGGCTTAAATTACACTTTAAAATGAGCTAGAGAACTTGGCTGGTGCAGAATGCAGCAAATCCTTGCTCTCTGGTAGGCAGTGCATCTCACCAGGAGCAGAAAACGGGAGAGCCCAGGGTTTTGCCCACTGGTGATTGCGTGTGACCAGACCGAATTTCAATTTTACAAGTCTTCAAGCCCAGCTTGTCTTAGGAGCTGTCTGTTTGAAAGAACACATTTCTCTTTGCACATTTTGGTCAGCACTGCAATCAAGGGAGCCACATATGCTGGATCCTATTCAACTTAATAGATAGAAATTTGGCAGTAGAGTGTTCTCCATATGGGGTTTTCAGCTGTAGAGAAACTTCTGCCTGTGCTATAAAGTAGATTGGGATTGTTCCTTTCCAGAGTAAGCTGCCTCTTCGTCTAGATGGTGGAGGAGAACTGGATTCAAATGTGAGCTGGCTCTTTAAGTGGAATTAAGAACTGGTTAAAAAAAGAACCCACCAAACATGCTGGCTCTCAGAGGGTGTTCATGATGTTCCCCTGAAATTCTGAGGAGTTATTACCCATTTTGCCTTGACTGTATTTTTGGCTGAAGTTTTATCAAGAGCACCCAGGCAAATAGATTGTCACATCCATCAAATATAACTTGTAATGAATAAATGTGTCCTTCCAGCCACTGATCGAACTGTGAAGGTGCAGAATAGTGCTGGGAGCTTCAACAGCCTAATAAAAAATAACTCAAGTTATTTCACCGGGCAAAATCATCCTGGGATAAATGTACAAATGCATTTTCTCAACCTGGTGCAGGTATAATGGCTTCATTGTACATCAAAACAAAGAAGTTTAGCCTGAAATAATTAATTTCTGTAGGCAAAGCCTAACATTTCCATAGTTGCCAAAGGGAAAGCAAAGAACAATTGTAAAGACAGGGAAAAAAAAAACCCTCACAATGAGATTGCTGGGAATAATTCCAATAGCATGAAATTAATGTAAATCACAAATAGCTTCCGTGAAGCTAAAGCAAAAATCTGTGAGAAACCAGAATCAGGTCCAATAACCTAAATATGAATCACTGACAAAAAGAAAAACAAAAGCATGGCCACAACAGAGACATTTGATAGTATAGGAAATGAATATTAACACTGAATGATCACTAAAGGGATAAATACTTCCCTAATAACACTCAAGTCTTAGGGTGGGAGTTTCTTGCAAGGATGGTATAAATCTTAATGATTCTCTTGTCTCAGCAAACCTTATGGAAGCTCCACAACCCAAATGGATCCTGCTACAGCTTTCAGAAGATGCTCCTTCTGAGCTGGGTTAATGGCTGGCAACAGGAAAGTTATCAGGTAAAGCAGACATATAGAAACCCACCTAGACTGTGGAACTCTTCTGCTTCATCATCCTAGATGTGAACAAGTCTCTTTTCCTTAAATGGATGTTTTGTGGCAGCTCCTCAAGGAAGAATAGCCAGGGGCTTTCACAATGCAAGTAATTACAATTCTTCCTCTGCTGCTTTCACAGAGTTGATCTAATGAATGTTTTTAGGTTCAAAATTAATAAAACCCACATGCAGCCCACTGGAGGGTTTGTTCTTCAAGATTTGGGGCTCATCAAAACAACTGAAAATATAACCCTTAACTAGTTTATTTCGGACACTGGTTCACTCTCTGAAGGTGTTTGTGTCTTTGCAGCACAGGTTGGGATGAATTAGAGTATATATATAAATATATATATAGTATTCTGAGATGGTGCCTGTGTTTTCTCCACACTGCCCTGCTTTGGTGAGGTATTGGCTTTTGTTGTCTAAACCGGGCTCAGATATGTCATTCTTATTACCAAGGCTTATTTAATTCATTTACTAGGTCATTGCTTGGGATAATATATGCAAATTGTACATATTAAGAGTGATATGAATTACATCAAGCATTGCCATTTATGTGGAAAATTCATCAAATGTTAATGCAAAATCTATAAATAGAAAGAATAAAATAATAATAAAACATGAATGTGCAGCAAGCATAAAAAATGAAGACCCTTAACTGCCCATTTATTAAGCAAATAAGGACGGCAGATCCTCAGCCAGAGAGAAAAAAATGCAACAGAAAATGACTGTGTGTTACAGTGACACTGATAACCACTTAAATCAAGCCCCCAGTATTCTGACAGGGTGCGTGCTTGTGAATGGGGGAATGAAAACTCATGTCAGAAAGGAATTCCAACAACTGTGCTGGGTAGAAAGTGGTAGGAGACATTTAAAAAAAAAAAAAAAAATAAGCCCACGGATTTAGTCTTTATGACAAAGCTAATCACAGATTGCTTGGGCACTCCACCAAACAGTTGGAAAAAACTATAAACCCAAGAACTGTGTTTTATATCATTTCAAGCCTGTGTTTCATGTTCCTGTGATTCAAATGTTCGTGCTAGCAGGTACAGCCAGGGATGTTACTGCCTCGCCATAAAGTGCTCTGAATCTGTAACAATTCATTTTTCTCAGCCTGTAAGGACAAATAGTCACTTATCATTCCAGTATCTGGTGAAGAAACTTCCATAGAATCTCATACATCCCCACATAATTTGGCATAACTGGCAGGCTTTTCTAAAACAGAATAACTGAATAATAATGAAGGCCATTAACGATGATTAGAAACATTACAAGGAGTGAAAAATTAGCAATATAATTTCCTATATTCATAGGCTGCTTATGAGAATAGAATTTTTGCAGGAATCCTGCACAATTATTACTCAAGGGGAGGATGTCAGAGGTAAGTTATTTGAATTTTCACTCTTTTAAAGAAGTTCTCATTATGTAGCCTGAATTGCTACACTTCATAAATACAGCAAACTTCTCCCTTTTTTTCCTCATGATTCATATACTGTTTCCCTACTCAATTGTTTTAAATCAAGTTCTCCTTTTCCCATACATTGATAACCACTTACAACACCATCCTTTCAGGAATCAGCCATCAACGCTAATTTTGCTCTTATGGCTGCTGCCTTAAATGAAGCCATTTTTACTTTTCTTTAAAATTCCAGATGTCATTAATTTCTTTTATCAGCCTCTAACAGAAAACATACCTAGAGACTGTTCAACCCATACTGCTGGGCTGTATAAATCTCAATCATAAAAGAGTGAAGAGATGCTTAACATCTGCTCATCCTCGTTACAAGAGAGGGGGGAAAAAAAGGCCCCACTCTTCTAGTGGCAGTTGTGCAGCTTTCCCAACCAGGCTCGTGGATTTCTGTGCTCTTGTTTTGCACAAGCAGAGAGAAATAAATAAATCACAGGCACAAAACAAGGTTATGTGAGCCACAGAGGGTCAAATCCTGCACCGCTGGTTTATTCCTAAGAAATACCACTTCATTCTTAAAAAAAATCTGACTTAGGTCCATGCCAGTGAATGAGCAGCTTTGGACTGGAACTGGTATTATCTGGATGAGGTAATTAAACAGAAAGTAGTTAGCCTGCCCCCCTTTCTCAACCAGACTCACAGGGTACTTGCCCAAGGCACAATTGCAAGGTGTTATAAAAAATATATTTAGTGCATTTATAGGTCAAGAAAGACCACATTCCTTTGGTTAGACTGATCACCTCTGGCAGCTACAATAGGAAAGAGAACCTAATTTTACTGGTGCTTGGACAAACCCTAAAGCACAGAACAAAAATCCTGTTCCTGCACTTAAATGTGACAGGATATACGATCATGCTTTATATGGAAATTCCATTTTTAAATACTTCATAAAGAGGAATAATTATTAATATGCCCATTAAAACTTTAATAAAGTGTTACAAACTGCAACTGCTTAATAGACTGCTAATAAGGGTGGCTTCCACTGCCTCTTCCCCTGGACTTTGCTTACTTGCCTACAATTCCTATTGCTGCTGCTCAGTTTATTAACCCCATGTAAACAAAACATTAATGCAAAATGTTACCAGATGTTCCAAAGAACCTATGAAAACCCTCCCTTAGGTTCCTTAGGCTTGAGTCATTAATCTATAAATTCTTTAGTTTCTCTTCTACTTAAACATTATAGGATTTTTCCAAAAGGATTTGGTGCTCTCAGAGGTAAAATCTCGCTTGCCTATTAATGCATGAAATCTCACTAAAGTCACTGAAACTACTCGTGTGAAAAGACATCCTCAAGTTCATTATGGAAAGATTATCCATTTGGGCTTAAGGAAACTGTACACAAAGTGCCACGGAGAAGAGAAGTAGTTTCAGCCTTTCTCATTTACATGCAAAGCGAATTCTTCCACCATTTGCTTCCAATTTGATAACTGAGCAAAAGCACAATAATAAATAACTCACGAGGAAAAAAAATTTAAACAAAAAAAAGTAATTTAGTTTAATAAAGCACAGCTTCAGCCTATGGGCACCCGAGGAACTGTTCCTTCTGTCACCCCATGGGAAGGGGGGAAGCTGCCGTGGGGAATTCCATCTCCTCCATCCCACACCAGGCACCACACGGCCACTCTCTCCATCTGTGGATGCCCAGATTGGGAAGAGCAGCTTAAGAACTGGAGGAAAATTTGATCAAGGGGCAAAAGAACAGCCCAAAATACAACACATCCCAATATAGACATTCTTTAAGGGGCCCAACACGGTGTCGTGCAGCTCTTCCCACATTTCTCAACAGAGGAAAATCCAAACCAAGGCCTCATGGCCTCTCCTCCTGGCACTGCCTGGAAGAAGGGCAGTGCTTCCCAGAAAGATGGTTGGGAACTGCCTAACCTTCCACAAAAGTTAAAGCTGCTTCCTCTTGGCAGCCTCCCAACAGAAGACACGGGCAGTCGTGTTCCCTTCCCGTCCGCTCCCCTCCCTTCCCTGCAGGCTCAGGAAAAGGATTGGCTCTGGATTGCACAAGGAGACTCTCCTTGCTCGGATGTCCAGAGGTCTGCGAGATTTTGGGTGTGTTAACCCCTAGTGCAGAGCCCTGCCACCTGCATTTTGTAGCCCAGGCATCACAGGGAACACCTTTCTAACACGCTGCTAGCTCAGATTTCGGTAAAGCTCGAGAAGAAAATTAAATAAATATAAAAGGAGATACTAACGTTTCCTTGAAAATTCAGTAATTATTTTACTTAAGAAAAAAAACTATCAATAAATATTTATATCTCTCTTGAAACCCAAACATTTATTATATTTATTAGTATTTTCTCTCAGTCTCACCAAAGCTGATGGAGATTTTGCCAGGCTTCATCCTGATTAATGCAGAGCCTCTCACAGAATCTTCCCACCTTTTTTCTACAAAACCTTTGTGCTCGAGGAACCCTCCAAACGCCCATGTATAAATACCTATGTTCTACCCAGAGGTTTACATTTTGATTTGCATGACAAGTACAACAAAAACACTGGAAAAAAAAAGAGGAAATCGCTTGTCTGAGTAACAGCAGAGAGCAAATCAGTAATATGACAATATATATATTGCCTGTTAAATTAATTAATTATTACTTCTAATAGTAAGTAAGTGGTCTCACACTAAGCAACGAGTGATGGGAAATTCATGGTAAGTGAAGAAATCAGTAATTTTGTGCAACAGAACAGGATTTGACCAAGAGGAGCCTCAGGATGACGCCTGGGAGATAAACCATTTTACTGCACCAGGATAACAACAGAAGTTCAGGGGATGGGCATCAGTGTGTATTCAGAGTGTGAAAAAGCATTGTTGAATAATGCACCACGGTGCTTTTCATCATAGTTTCTCTTTCAAAAAAAAAGAGACGTGGGGAAGCAATTATAAGCTATTTTGATGGGCTCATAATCATCATTTTCCATAGAAACTTCAGAGCCTGTCAATGGAGTATACAGAAGTATCTGAAATGCTAATTGTCACTACATAATTGCTACAAGGCTGAAACATGTTAACTAGGAACTATCTGGGCATTCAAACAACTATATCTTTGAAAATAATGCAAAGAAGGCACTTCAGCCCCCCTTCTGCAAACCTAATCAAGTGCTGTGTGAAGAAAAACATTACACACGAGTCAGATGAACACAGCAGCTCTGTGGGTACACAGTGCAGAACAGAATTTATCCAGGCAATGGTACAATGCTGGTTTAAAGAGAAAAAGAATTATTTTACATTCATTAAAAACAAACAAACAAACAAACGAACGAAAAACCCACACCTGCTCAGATGGGTGGGGCAGCAAACGATCTGTGTGGAGAATTCTGAGAAGCATTTTTAAAGACTGGGATTTCTCTGACCCAAAAACAAAGGCTGAGGAGATGCAGCGACTGTTTCCAGATATGCACATGAGACATAAAAAGAAGAGATGCTTAAGCGAAAAGACAGTTTTGGCATTAATCATAAATATGTTGGGGAAATCTGAAGAACATTTCCAGTTTCTAGTTCAGTGAAATTTTGAAACCAATGTCTAGAAAAAGAAACGGAAAGAGGAGAACTCTAGCCTGCTTTCAAATGGATATTCTGAGGAGTTTTAACGGTGAAGAGGAGCACAAATAAAACACTATTCTTGTAAATAAAAATAGCTGTTGCTAACTTCTCAAAATGAATATCAATGTATTGCTAACTTTAACAGAGGCATAAGGTAAAAAATTTCCAGTGATTTGAAAAATTAAAAAAAGAAAACTGCCAAAAGACACAACTTTGTAGTTATTTGTCTACATTGGGCACAAGTTACTCCCACAGCAAATGTGCTTCCAGTTCCATTTCTTTCAAATACAAAAGCTCTCAGCCTAAATACGAGCATCACATACAATTTAAATGGTAATAACAAATACCATCCTTTCTTTTAACCAAGCATAGAAAATTAGTGCTAAACAGAACAATTTGCAGGCTCACCAGAGCTGGTGGGTTCTTTTCAGCTAATCACATCACACTTCATGACTTGGAAATGTTAAAAGCAATGTATTACCAAGGAAAGCACAATGCTTGCTATTTAAGCTTCTAAGTGTTGGTTTAAAGTGAGTATCTTCTTAATAGAAATGAAATCTAAGATATCAACCAACAGTTCTAACCACAGAAAATTATAAAGTCTTCACTTAATTAGACATTAACAATTTCCTGCACCAATTAAAAGTCTGTCTTGCAATGTCATTGCTAAAAATCTTGGCTGTTTTTCCTGTTATGCTTAAGATCTCTGTGATGTGCTACAGAGTGTCTGAATGCCAGTGTGTCCCATTTGATAATTGCCTTCTGGGGCTCCAGTTCCCAGCTGTGCTGCTCCTCCATGGATGGGGCACTTGGCAGACAGGCTGAGTAAATCCAGGATTCCATCAGTGCAGCAGCAAAACATAAAGGACAAAGAATGGTCCAGTCATTGATTTCCCATTAGATTTCTATCTGATAGAAAGATTACACTTGGCTACTAGCACCAAAGAGAACTTGTTTTACTCTGGGTAACTCGTATTTAGATTGATTTCCCCTGAAATAGAATTTTTTGAATTGCTCTTTCCTGTTCTAAGTCTGCCTTTAAGGAAGAATTCCCAGCATGGGAGGAGGAATATCCACCGTTCCTCTTCTGAAAAGTTGCAGTTGAAGAGTTCAAAACCCGCACCAGAAAGGGACATAGGCACCAAACTCCCTAAATAGGCTGAATTCCCAGGGAATGGGCATCTGCATTGTTTTAAAATAGATGCTGGGTTAAAATACTAATAATGAACCAAAATCAACTACTGACAACTCAAATATAGCCATCGGTAGAAGACCAAACCAGAACTCAGCATGAATAAAAATATCCTTCTTGTTCTGTTCCCTTTATTTTTGGTAGTTTCTTTGCTCTTATTTGGTAATACTGGCCAGGAATATCAGACATCCACACTCTCTATAATTTTGGTAGCACTGGAAAACTGAACATGCTACAATTGGAAAGGATTGGAGCGCTCTGGTTTCATCACCAAAACTGGGTGAAACACCCAGAACAGACAAACTGCAGGAACAAAGACAATTAAACTCAGTTCTCCTTTCAGTTTGAATATCCTAAGACACAGATTCCAAAGCAATGTGTCACCAGCTGCATGCAGGAACCACAGCAACAACTCACCACTGCCTGCTCCCTGTTCCCTGGAGGGCAGTGACCAGTAACAGATGCAAAAAGAAAAGACTCGGAGAGCATTCCCCCAGCAACCCTCACAGCTCCTGGCAATCTGCAGCCTGGGGACTTCCTGAGCTGGAGGTTACATCAGCATCTTCCTGTTTAGCAGCCCTCAATGGACCTTTCTTTCATGAATTGTCTAATCATTTTTCAAACCTATATATATTTTGGCATACGAAACATCCTGTAGCAGTGGATCCCATGACTTAATTGCGTGTTGTGTAAAATGAGCACTTCCTTTTGTTTGCTCTCAATCTGCAGCCCAACCAGGTTATCTGGTGCCTGGGGGGGTGCTGTGTTCAGAGAAATTAATATTCCCACCCCTGCCTGGTCACCTGAAACCTCTGGTCCCACGATTTCTGAGCACCCTCTTTCCCCACATGAAGAGGGTGGTCAGGCCCTGGAAGGGGCTGCCCAGTGGAGGGGTGGAGTGTCCCCATCCCTGGAGGTGTTCAGGGAATGTGTGGATGTGACACTCAGGGCTCTGGCCTGGGGACTGTTGTGTTCAGTCACAAGTTGGGCTCACAGATCTTGGAGTTCTTTCCCAGCCTTAATGATTCTATTCTATGAACAAAGTTAAACGTGCCATTGCACACACTGGCATACAGCAACTTTTTTATTTCATTTGACATTTCCTTCCTAATTATTCCCAATATTTTCTTAGCCTTTCTGACCAGGTCAAAATGTCAAGGTGCATTTTCAGGGAGCTATTCTCAAGCAATTGTCCAAACACTTTTCTCTAGCTTTAATCTTGACTAACACCTTCAAAAACAATTTAACCCCAGAAAACCTGATCAACTCCAACTACTCTTTAGCTCAGCTATGAATATATTAAATAGCAGAGATTCCCATCCTGGAGGTCTGGAAGAAAGCACCAGTTCTCCTTCTAATGAAACAATGAGAAAGTTTATTTCACCTCTGTTCTACCTCCTTCTCATTTCCATTTACTCTACTCTCTCTCCTACCAGCACCTGAACACAAGAGGGGATCTTCAGCCATGGCAACGTAAAAGAAAAATCCAACTTTCCTCTGAGTGAACACCAGTGCAAATAGCTCGTTCAGCTTTTTGCCATGTCATTTTTCATGCATGTGTATTTTGCACATCCACTGGCTATGCAGCTTCCCTGGCAGAGTCTCTCCTCTGGAGAAAAGAACTTTTTTTTTTTCCCCCTCCATGGTTTTATGCCTTCAGCAAGTTGTTCTTCAAAATCTCCTTAGGTCTGCCTCATGGTTTTATATTTATATATGGTCTGGTTTTATATTTAACCAGTCAAGGTTATGCTCTTTTTCCACCTCCCATTTTGAGCCAGATGCTTTTTTATTTATAAAAGCCTCCTTTTGCTCTACTATTTAACAATGCTGCTCCTCCTTGATAGTGGCATATATTTACTCAAAGCCTCTAAAACAGCCTAACAGCCCTAAGAAATATTTACAAGTAGTATTACTAAACGGGTTCTATAATACAGTTTTATATATATATATTACTCTGAAACACTGTTTTTACATGCAATGAAACTATAAACAAGGCATTCTACTGCTTGTACTAGAAAAATAGCATTGTCATTAATTTCGGGGAGGGGTTTAAATGTTGACATTGAAACACTTGCAACTACCTAACTAGAGGATTAGAGACCTGAGGCATATATCACCAGGAATGGAAACTCTCACATCCAGCATATTGATTCCCTGAGACTCTGCAAATGAAAAAAAAAAAGGTGCCTTCCCTCACCTTCTTTGGTGAATTATTGATTAGCTCTGCCTTAAAAGTGCCCATTTCTCTTCACTGATTGCAAGGGGGAGTTTGGATAATGAGCTCTTACATTGACATCTATGTTGTAGATACTTAAAATTGGGCAACATAAATCCTGCCAGGAGGAAACTCAGTTGTGACACTTTTCTACTCTCTCTACACAGGCAAGGAAGATGACAGGGTGTGGGAGAAGTGACATTCTGTCACCACTATTAGAAGGTACTTCTTTGCTGGAGTGATGGCCTGCACCTTGTTACAGATATAGAGAACACCAAATGTTCACATCACACCTGTACTTAAGAAGGGGATGTCAGAACACTGGGACCAGTGAGATTTGAGCCAGTTGACTGCTGGACAGGCACCTCAAAGAAAAGCCTGTTGTTGCAGCGAACCCAGACAACGTCCTGACAGTGACTTTCAGTAATGGAGGGTTTTTTTCACACCTGTGTTAGGTGGAAACACAGTAGTGCTTATTTATTTTTGAATTGTAGAGCCTTGACTCCTTGATTCTCCTGATTTCCAGGCATACAGGCAGGGCAGAAGACTTAATGTAGTGCCACTGATGAGGGATTTATATTAGCACCTGTGGCCACAGCATTTACTCCAGCCATCGTGGTGGGAAATGATCCTCCATCACTCCCAGCATCTTAGCTAAGTGGTGTAAAACTACAGTCAGCATGTTCTGTGCCAGCTCCTTCCAGCTGTAACTCGAGCTGCTTTTGGCACTGACCTTGCCCATTACTTGCAAACCAGGTCAGCATTCTTTGTGGGCCTTTCCCATCACTCTCCCACAGATTGCTGTGCCTGTGCTTCTGCCTCCGAAGGTCTGTCACGTTAGCAATAGCTGTGCTTTTGGAGCCTAAGAATGGAAGTTCTGCAAGTGGTGAAATTGAGGAATATATCTTTTTTTTTTATGGCCACTTTGCAGCTACACTTCAAAGGCAGGTCTCCCCAGGCTTCCACCATCAGAGACTCTGTGCACCCATGGAGACTAATAGATGCTGAATGTTGCTATAGAAATTGCTATATTAACAACTGTCCCACGGATTGCATCCTCTGTTGGATCCCAATTCTCCTCAAATTGGAAGCAGTGGCAGAACTCCAGCATTATTTATTTGCAGGGAAGGGTAAGATTCACAGGAAACTCTGGACAAGCTTGTAAGTAGCTTGTCTGAGATAAATGAAATATGTCATTTGTCCCTAATGATCTCTCCCTGCCAGCACAGAAAGACAGCAACATAAAGCACTTTGCAACACATCCCTCAAAGTGAAGATATTCATTGCAACAGTTTTCTGTGTTTAAACGATAATTTGGGCATGAAGGTTGGTGCAAGTGTATCCTGCTTTGGACTGGGTTTTATATGTGCATCATCCTGAAGTATTTAACAGCATCTAGAAACTCTGTTATTGCAACTCCAGTGAGTCAGTATTTGTGTCTTTGACAAATCAAATCCAAATTCCTGATAAAAGCATTTTCCACACCCTTTCAGATAATTTTAAGATTTCTGCACCATTCCCTAAAGACACACACACGTCACTGGTATTGTATAGTCCTCCCTAAAGTGGTCCATGAACTTCCAGTTGCTATCATTTGTTAATACCATTTAGAAAACAGATGAGGCATTAAAAGAAATTCAGGACAATGAGGCAGTGTTTGTCAAACCTTACAGCACCATCAGCCACACAGCAGAGGCACTTAAGTCACAGTATTTGTAAGGTTCCCCTGTGTCCAACAGAGCCAATTCCAGCCAAGGCAGACTGGCCACTGGCCAAGGCCGAGCCCATCAGTGGTGGTGGCAGCGTCTCTGAGACAATGTATTTAAGAAGGAGGGGAAAAACTCTGTGCAGCAGCAGCTGCAGCCAGAGAAGAATGGAGAGAGAATATGTGAGAGACAGCTCTGCAGACACCAAGGTCAGTGCAGAAGGAGAACAAGGTGCCCTTCCTGACTCTGCATTGACAATGTGACCAGGAAGGTGGCTGGACATCACCTCCTACATTTTCCTTTGCTTTCACTTTATTAAACTGCCTTTACCTGGACCCATGAGGGTTTTTCCATTTTATTTTCTCCCCCTACACCCTGCTGAGGAAGGCAGTGACAGAGGGGCTTGGTGGTCACCTGGAACCCACCCAAGGTCAACCCACCACAGTGTTTCACCATGTGGCATATTGTTGCTGGTCCTCTCTCCAAGCAGGCAAGCAAAGCTCAGCAGTTGGATGAAGTCCAAATCTTTCCAGTTTTAAATAAACTTCTCTGTTTTCGCCCTGTTATTCAATCAAATGTTCCCAAAACAATGGTTTTGTAAGCTATAAACAAGTTAGGCATCTAAATAATTGACTTTGAATGGAAAAACAGAGAATATGTTAAAGGCTTGTGTCTTAAGTCAAACCAGCAATAATTCTAAGTTTTACTGCTCAAGGAAACTCCCAGCTCCTAAATAAGATCAAGGTCCACTTATGCCCAATGATCTGCAGGGTCTCTGCCCTTTACACTTCACAGTTCTGTAAAGGGCAGAAGAAAAATTTGAGGATAAACCAACTAAAATCTTATGCATTGGCTGCTCTTGTAGACCAAAAGTTTTACCTAATTGATTAGCAAGTTTTTCTTTTGTTATTTTCCCATCCTCCTCCACTAGAGAGAGGATGTTGCTGGGGTGAGTCCAGAGCTGAAGAATATCCCTGCCTGTCCTTTTAGCCCCACAGAGGAGCCAGGTGCTTTCACAGGACTTGGACCAGTGTCAAAGAAGCCACAGGGCTATTTAGACATTTCCTGAGTAATAATCCATTAGTCTGGAGTTTGTAGAAAGAAGCCTCTCCCAAGAACCTCATCTCTCCATCCCATCAGACTGCCTGTCATCAAAACCTGGGAGCCTGGCAGTGCCAAGCCACAGCCATGTGTTCAATTCAAGGCAGGAACAATGACAGTAGAGATAAGATGACATCAGAATTTCATGAGCTATGAAGGGGGTGTGTGGTGCAGCATTGCTTAAGCACGGCCTGTGATTGCATTGGCAATGGAATCGGAATCTTTCCTGTTTGCAAATAAAAGAGAATTTACCCCAGTGGAACAATCTACATAAATTCTTCTGTGCAATTCTTATGTACAACAGAAGAACCACATTAAGGACCTAAAATTGGCCTTCCCCAACTTGAGGTGCTGTGCTGGCAGTTGGCACTGAGACGAGCATCACTGCAGGGCAGATTTCACTACGGTATGCATTTGCCTATCTTGCATCTAAAGATCTGGGCAAAGCATCCTGCACACAAATACATAGCTCAAGAATGAGGAGAGAGAGAGAGAGAGAGAAGAGCACTAGTTCCTCTTAATGCATGTAGCAGTCATTTGGGAAATCCCCCCAAGGACTCTGCTCTGAAAATCATTGGGCAAATGTGTCTGAGAATGTGCATTTCAAGAGTGCCGGTAGAAGTGAAACTGCATCCATCAAAAGGAACTGGTTTCCTGTTTCTATTCTTCTTGCCTTTCATTTTTCAGATGTGTAAGCTAGATAATGAAAAGCCATTCCAGACCATTTTAGGTATTGCTGGGATGAGGTAAGGTTGTTATCTGTTTGAAGGAGAATCATTTTTCATTGTCTGCTGCCATAAACGGGTGGAGACTTTTTTTTTTGCTTTCCCCTCACATTCAACTGATATAAAAATCTCAACATTCTCCAAAGAGCAGTATGGATTTTAACCATTCCATTTGCTTTAGCCCACAAGGAAGGCAATGGGATTGATGGCTACAGCTACACTTTTCCATCAAAAGTTAGAGAAATTCATACACAAATCTCACATTTAGTTGTTTTCATGTGGTTTATGTTTTTTGTTCAGTTTTGTAACACAGGTGTGGCGTAAACTAAAGGCAACAACCTCACCTCGAATTTTCACTCTCTTACAACAGCAAATTGACATAACTGAGACCAGGGTCTTGATTGCAATGTCATAATTAAAGATGCTTCTCAGAACACATGTCCCACCCACTACACTGTGAGACTGGATCTGCTCCTCTCAGTGTATCACCAGCATTTTCTGCACTTTTTACAGTATCACCCAGACACCTGTTGAGCCAACTGAACACTGGTTAACAGCATTATTTCTCCTGGGGGGTTGGCTAATGACATTGGCAGCTCAAGGCAATCCAGTCCTGAATTATGTAAAATTCCTTCAGAGAAGAGTCAGTGAAAAAGCAGCTCATTTCATGGTCATTGTGCACTTCTTAATTCTCTAGGCCATCCTCCAACCAGTCTTTTTAACCCACAAATCTTTCAGAATCCAGACTAAACCAGCCCACTGCTTCTGGGTCTTGAAAATAAACATCTCTTACAGCCAACAGACAACTGAACCAATTTCATTTTTGTGAGATATACAAAAGCCTCATTCTGGAATACCAAGAACCATTATGCAAGCTAAATTCACACTCATCTCGCAGCACCAACTCTTCTGATGAAATTTCTTGTATATGAAGTAACATGACTGCTAATTTTCATGAAAAATCCAACCACCACTGTAATTTATTAATACAGAAACCCCCTCTTCTCTGAGGAATGACAACTCACCTCATTCCTCAAACTACTCATGTGAATTCCTCAAACTGCTCAGGCTGTTTTCAGAGCTGAATTGTACGTTTGAGTTCTAAAATTTACATAGACTCATTTTTCAGGGAAAATGTATTTGTGGATTAATGAGCCCAAGGCTGGCTGCATCAGGCTTTGAGTGAAATGGATATGCCATGTGCAATCTACTGTTTCTCATTCCAGGATGAGGCCACTGGATTTAACCACACTCACAACATGCAGCTTTATAGGGAGAACAACTTTTGTCACATCAGCAGTTTTGAACTGATCTCAAAAGCTTTGGGGTTTTTTTGCAGTTAATGTAATAGTTGATAAAAGAACAAAGATGAAGCTTATTAAAAATAGAAACCTGTGCAAACACTTCTAAAACACAAATCTAAGTTGGGCAGATTGCCAGAAGTACTCACTGACAGCAGTGGGAAAGGCTAATGCTGGATTTCCTTGAAAACGTGCTATTTATTTAAGTAAGCCCATTTCTGGGATTCTCTTCGGCCTTCTGAAAGTGTCTTGGGTCCTTTCACACTCCAAGACCAGAGGGGAAAGTTTTGATCAGCCCCTAACAGAGTTAACATAAATTCACCAGGTGAGTCCTACATCTTACCCAAAAAGGTGTCAGTGATGCAGGGAACTGCTCGAGCACAGCCCAGAAACCAGACCTGCATTTCCAACATGACAAGCCATGGAGAAGGTTTCAATCCCTCACTTCAGAAGATGGTCCTCATGGGCTGTTCTGTGGCTACACCACCAATCCTGCCCTTCCCTTTTAACATTCAACACCACAAAATGCTCTTCAATCCAAGTCCTGGCCTTGCAATGACCACTTTCTGGTACAGAATGCCTGAAAACAGTGTGACATGGCAAGAAGCTACCGAGCTATGCCTGAGCAAGTGCACAAATAATAAATATTATCCTTGGCAGGATTTTTAGTAAACTCTCCCTGGCCCCAGCTCTGCCTCAGGGCTGGCACAGATCTTTGCACCTGCATCCAGTCGACTCACAGCACTGCAGATCTGGCACAACACGGTTTTGCTAAGTCAAGTATTGTCAAACTACACAATATCCATTCATTTGATTCTGTTTGTCATTGCACAAGTAGCCACCTTTTGGAACAGCCCTTGCAGCACGGCCCCAACCATCTCAGGACAAAGCAGTAAAAATAATACGTCCTCTGCAGCTTTTGCACAGGGATTTGCTTTGGCATGGCACTTCCTTCCCCTGTCCCTGCCAAGTGTCAGAACGTTTTGGAGCGAGAACATTTCATTCTTCGCCATAAAAACAAAGCAATGCGGAAATAAAGGAGCAGTTAAGGGAGAAACCTGAACACCTTCTCACCTCCAGCACGCTGGGACAAGGAGCAGCTGCTGCAGCACAGCCCTCCAAATGTGGGACAGCTTTCCCCAACACAAATGGGTAACCCTAAAAAAGACTGCCACGGGACTAAGCCATGGTGGGTTTATTATTAGTTATTTTCTATTTTACTAAGATGCTTTGCTCTTTTTTTGAGGTCACATGGGAAAAAAAAAAATGTATCTTAGAAACAATCACCGGGTTTATATTTCCTTTTCTTTTCAAAGAAACTGATGTAAAGAACAGCATCCCTCTGGCCTGCAGGCACCTCTCCAGCCAGCAATTACAATTGAAGAGAATTACAGCTGCAATCTAGCTGAAGAAATTGTCTTATCTGCTCCATGAATGCACCCTTGGGAGGATTCTTAAATGCTATTTTATATCCCTGGAGAAGAGTAACGCAGAGACAATGATGAAAAAGGCATCTGTTTTAGATGTGTGTAGTTCTAACCACTAACGTGGGCTGTGTGATCTATGCCTGTGGATAGTATGACTCCTGCTCATTAAAGTTTTACCAGAGGTTGCTCCATATCTTATTAATTGCATGGAAGCTCAAATGAGACCCAAACTCGGTCAAGCCCAGAACCTCCAGAACAGGTGTTAAAAACAGTGAGAGGATAGACACAAAATTCATCCCATCTGATGGAAAAAGAAGAGAAGTATTTATATTTATGTGAGTGCTGCCAGCTACGTCTTCCTGCATGGAAGTAGCACAGGTTGTATTTCACCAATATGGGCTCTCCCAATGACAAGCAGGACAGGAGATACATTCTGAAAATAAGTTTCAAAGAAAATCGATCTAGAAAACGATCACAGGAATTTTTCCACTAACAACTCCCTCTCCAAAGTACATCTCTGTTCTTGTAAGGCAAGGTACAACAGAATCAGTCTGGAAGGAGTGAAAGTTTGCAGCCTTCTCTCTGGAGTGGCACAGGTTAAATGAAGCCTTGTGACAGAGCAATCTTCCAGCATCTCTGCTCCCCACTGCTTGGTCCTTGCTCCTTGTGCTTGTACATGAGGTACACGAGACCTCACTGTCCTTAAAGACATTCACTCAGTCATGTTCAGCCACATCTGAAGTATCAACTCCAGATCATTTCAAAATCAGCATTCTTGAGTTAGTCCACTCAGCTTTAATAAATCCTAAGGCAGATTTAGCTGACTTAATCCAAAAACCAGAGAGAAAACTGTTAGAAACACTTTAAATGCATATTTACTCAAGTTCTAAGAAATCATAGTGAGGTCCCAAGGTGTTTGCTCATATCCAGTTAGTCAGTGATTAGTCAGCCAAGAACACACCAAAGCAAGGTGGCACTTTCTGTTCAATTTGTCACAGACTTGGGCACAGAGATGGAGGTCATTTGTTCTTCAAACAACCCCCCAATACACGCAGAGAGACCGGTTTTACAAACATCATCTTCCCAAATCCAAGGTTCTAAATCATGTTTCATCCCAGCCCCCAAAAAGCCCAGAGAAACAGCAGCACTCTCATTACATCCCCACCTCTAATCCCACACATCTAGGCAGTGCTGTTAATCATCTTCAAAGGCGTGGATGGTGAATAAGTCCAGGCATGCCAGGAAGGCAGTCCTGGGAAGCTGAGTGCTAAAAACTGGCAAGAGTTGATGAAATGAATGAACTGTTTAGAGGTGCACTGAGCACCTGCATCCTTCTTGTCTTCAGCTGAAGATGCAAATAGATTCATCTCTTCAAAACCAGGGGACATGCAATAAGTGAAGACTGAGAAGCTTCCTCTCGTGTCCCCAATGACACCAGGCAGGAACTGGCAGAAAAGCAATGGAATGCTGCTTGTGAATATATATATTATAAAGGGCTTCTACTAAATAAATGCTACACATACAGAGAGCAGAGTTCTGTACCTGTGATGAATGAGAAGTGTTTTCTAAAAACTGTGCCTCCATATTTTAGAACAGAGAATATAATTCCCTGTTGCTTTCTGCTACTGTTCTTGCTGTAATATATGTTCTCTGCCCGAGTTTTCTCTTAAATATTCTTGGGAAAATAATGACATGAATTCAACTTGATATTAACATTGCTATTTGTGTTACAAATAGCCAAAGACTGTTGGTTTGAGCCACTGTGCAATAATTCAGGACTTATCAGACTACTTGCAAACTCCACAACATATTTCTTGCATGACCCAGAAGAATCCACAACCTCTTTGTGCCTGTCTTTCCATCCATAAAATAATGAAAATCACACTCCTTTGTCTTGTCTGTGTTGCCTTTTTTGGAGGGATCATACAGCACCTGTTGTAACAGGTCTCAGGTGCTGCAGGTAGGGTTTTCTCCAGTGGATAACAGCCACACAAAACACAAATGAAATCTTTCCAAATGGCCTTCCAGAGGTATTTTTCAGGATGATATTATGAAAAAACATAGAACAAGTCAATGCTTTAGGTTTCCTTAAAGTAAATTGCCAAGCCTGAAACTCACTCATTAAAATCACATTCTTAAAAGCTCATCCAAAACTATGTTATTAAAAAATTCTCCATTGTAAATACTCGTCAGGACTGGATTCGTTGTCCAGCTCCACAAAAACAGCAGATAAGACACAGCAGATAAGAAAACTGAAATTGTGGATAGAATATTGATTTTGAAACACAGGAAGAAACAAGAGAAGATGTGATATACTACCTAAGCAAGAAAGCAAAGACACAGGTATCTCTACATCTTGCAACAAGAG